TTAAAGAATTTGTATCTTGTATTAGATTGGTTAGTGGAAATTAGAATATTCGACATAGAAGAAGATTTAATGTGTTGCAAATGGGAAAATCGCTCTCTTATGCTCCCTCTTCGTTCTTACTTTCTTGAGCTCTCTTCTTTTACTCTCACTCTGTCCCTCTCTCTGCCCTGCTCTGAGCTGTGGCTGCAGTTCCCAGCAGGGCTTTATATAAACCCACACCCTGCGAAATAAACTGCAAACTTTGAGACCAGAATAAATAAAAACCTGAGTTTGTCCCGAGCGTCCCAAAGCAGAGATTCCTACACACCTGGACGTGGCTCCTCAGGTATTCACTGAGCAGAGGAAATTCCCTTCCCGAGACCCCTCCCACCCAGAATCTCCCCCACACATCCACGAATACAGAATTTATCTCGGGCAGAACAGGCAGAACCCAAGCAGGGAAATGGAAAAAGCTTTCATTGCCCAGCCTTTATCAACGAAGGGATTCCAAGCACAGCACGACGAGAGATGCTGCAGCACTGGCACGTTTCCTTCCCGAAGAATTCGCAAAAGATCCTTTTTCTTTTTCTTTCTTTTTTTTTCTTTTTCCTGCAGCAAAAAATCAAAGCCAGACTCAGCCTCAAATGATTAAAGGTTAACTAAGACTTCAAACAATCTCACGCGATGGGTCGTTCTCCCAAGAATGCCGGGACATAAACTGGGCTCGGGTTTAAGATCTGCCTTTAATTAGGGCGGGGTCAGAGGGCGATGAGCAGGAAAAGAGGCTCTGGCACAGATGGGAGATGTGCTTTGGAAATTATTCCCAAAGAAAAATATTGTGCACCTGTTCAGGGCAAAATCCTGCCCCGGGGAAAGAGTCCCGAGTTTGGGGTGAGGTGGGATTGGAATGTGGAATTTACGGATTGCTGTTGTTTTAAACCGAGATTCCACTGAAACACGCTGTGGTTTTGTTCTCTGGAAAACAAGGTGAGGGATGTGAGGAGACAAACACAGCCCAGCTCCGGGAATTGTCACATTCCCAGGGTGGGATTTTGGGGTGTCCGTGCAGGGCCTGGGGCTGGATCCTCGCTGCCTTCCATGGCTCCAGGGTATTCCGTGGTTCTCTGAGGTCGGGAATTGGCCTCTGGAAACCTGGAGCAGGGAATAGAGGATCCCAAACCCGCATTGGGAACCAAGAGCTGGCTCCAGGCCTCGCTCTCTCCTCCCCAGCCCAGTCCCAGCAGCATTTTAATTAAAAGAGGTGGCTCCGTGCACCTTTTTCCTATTGATCTGCGCTCAACGAGAGCCCATAAACCGAGAAATTAAAGCCATAATTTACAGCCCCTTGGCCGGGCTGCCTGCGAGCTCTGGTTGCCACATTGTACACCATGGTTTCCTGCCTCTGCCAGGACATAAACTCCACACAACAGCTCCAAAAAGGGGGAAAAAATTAAAAAAAAAATGTTAAAAAAAAAAAAAAAAAAAAATTGAAAAAAAAAAAAAAAAGGTAAAAAAAATAAAATAAAATCAAACCCACCCCTAACCCCCCGGGCTTGCTGCAGCAGCCAGCTGGGAGGATGGTTTGCAGCTCGCCGTGTGTGATGTGGGGCCAAGGCGTGGTTCCAATCAGGGCAGATGAAAGGGCAGCCCTGGCTGTGCCAGGTGCGCCGCTGGCACCGCAGCCCCCCGGGCACGGCTCCAGCGCAGACATGTCAAAGCAATAAAAGCAAAACGAGCAACATGTGGCTAAAAACAGCCTCTCCTTCTACTGCTTTCTATAAATGAGTTTTCCCAGGGTTAAGGTTTCTTCA